TTTAACTAGAAATATTTAATATAGACGTTTACTTTTTTTTCATTCAAAAATTAATGCTGAAATTAGAAGTTTGCAGAAATTCTTCTTCCCAAATTTATTTTTTAACTGTTACAGCTCCAGTACCAAGAGTACCTTTCACTCTGGGATGGAACAAGTTAACATCAACATATTTGCCTTCAGATGCCAACCAACTAGATCAGGGGTAGGCAACCTTGGCTACCCCTGAACTAGATGTATAGTTAATGTTGTGATTGATTCATCTATTTTTGTGAATCAGTTCTGCTCCTGTGAGAGTTTTGTGATTTAATTTCTCCCTTGTCAGCCTTATGTGTGATCCTAGTTAATCTTAGTTAATAGAACATGGTCATCATGTATAGACAGTAATAGCAAATTCTTAGAGAAAAGCTATAATCTCTGTGATTTAGCACACTTATCCTTAAAAATGCTGTATGTACGGTACAACCAATCAGATCAAGAACAATACCAGTACTGTATTAATTAAATATTCAAATTCTTTCCAACCTTGAATTAAAATGTTACAATAAAATTTATCATTGCTCTCTGTGTCTCTTTCTCTCTTTCTTTCTCTTTGTCTCTCTGTCTCTCTCTCTCTCTCTCTTTCTCTCTCTCTCTCTCTCTCTCTCACACACACACACGTGTGTGTGTTAATGGCATCAGAAGCATTTACTTGTTATAATAGTTAGCATGATATGATAGATTTGTTACGATATCAAATAGCCAGAATGCTCAGGGGCACATTAGCCTTATGCATAATAGGTAATTTGCTCTATCCTGGAAAACACGTGGTTACAATGATGCTAAAATTTCACTTCAGTACTGTGTCATACTGATCAACCTTTTAGAATGGTCATCCACATTCACATGGTATTTTCACAGCAACCTTGACTCAAATTCAAATCATAATATTAAATTATTGTGGCTAGACGTAGGTTCACCTATAGCAATCATATCACTTTGAAAATACAATATAATTTTATTTGTATGTTTACAAGCAGTAATACAGTCTATACCAGGCTCCTAGCAAAGCTTTGATACTTTGCTGAGCAGCCATGAACAAAAGCAGAATCAGGGCTTATATATCTTTGGCCCACTACATTACACAAAGGCAATGGCAAAACAAAGAAAGGGGAGGAACAGTAGAATCTTTGAGATGTGGGCAGTGAATAGAAACAATTTGGTTTACTGGACCACAGGTTCCTAAATGAGTCTTATCTCTGTCACCACTTGGGCAGTTCAGCTTTTCTTCTAGGGCACTTTAAGCAATTCACATGTATGGGGGCACCTTATAGGATGACATGTACTGTATGGAGAGGGGTGATACCTATTACCCATTAAAGAGAAAGGGTTTAGCTTTAGTTGATTCATTATACTTATAAACATTTTACTTGAGATTTTAAAATTGCAGAAAGTTAACATTCGGAAAGTAGCAGGCCCAGATAATATCCCTGGGCACGTTCTTAGGGAATGTGCAGATGAGTTGGCTTGTGTTCTTATAGATATTTTCAAACTTTCATCGCAGCAGGCAGTGGTCCCATCATGTTTTAGGACTGCCATTATTTTTCCAGTGCCGAAAAAGTCTATGATTACACATCTTAATGATTACTGTCCAGTTGCACTTACATCCATCATTATGAAATGTTTTGGGAGGCTGGTAAAGGACATTATTATATCCAGCCTCCCTACAGCATTTGGCTCACTTCAGTTTGTTTACTGTCCAAATTGCTCTACAGAGGATGCTATTTCTTCTGTTCTCCATCTGAGCTTGGCATACTTAAATGAAAGAAATACTCATGTGCGAATGCTGTTTGTCGACTTCAGTTTGGCATTTAATACAACCATTCCTCAGTATCTAGTAGACAAACGGGGGCCTTTTAGGCTTTAATATTCCTTTGTGCAATTAGATTCTTGATTTTCTTATTGATAGGCCACAATATGGTTGATGGCAAACCTTGCACAACAGTGCAAGTTGGGACTAATATTTTTAACACCGTTTTCTTGAGCACAGGCTCTCCTCAGGGCTATGTCCTAAGTCCACTGATCTCTCTGTTGACCCATGACTATTCTACAAGATTTGCCACCAACCATATTGTGAAGTATGCGGATGATACAACAGTTGTGAGCCTTATTCAGGATGACAGTGAGAGTGCTTACTGCAAGGAGGTAGAAGGTTTGGTGAGCTGGTGTAATAAAAACAGCCTCGTCGTAAACATAGGAAAAACTAAAGAGATCATTGTCGATTTCAGAAAAGGCAGGTATAACCATACATCTCTGTGTATTAATGATTCACCTATGGAGGTGGTTAGCAGCATCAAGTTTCTAGATGTGCATCTAATGAGTAGGTTAGCTTGGTTGCTCAAAAGTGAGACACTGGTGAAGTGGGCTCAGCAGCCCCTGAATTTTCTGCATCACATGAGAAAAGTACATCTTCCTTCTCCTGTCCCTACCACTTTCTGTAGAGGGACAATTGAAAGCATCCTGACATTATTGTCTCGTTTGGAAGGATTACCGCTTCGGATAGGAAGGCGGTGCAGAGAGCAGTGAAAATGGCAGAAAAGATTATTGGTAATTCACTCCCTTCCATCCAGGACATAGCATATAAGAATTGCTTGAGCAGGGTCTGCAGTATTGTCTGGGATACTACACATCCTCTTCATGACCTCTTTTCCCTGTTCCCTTCTGGGATGAGACTTAGTGGTATCCAAAGCAGAACATCTAGAGCCAGTCGCAGTTTTATTCCACATAGTATCAACTTTGTGAACTCTCAAGTTTCCTTTTTCCACTAAAAGCCGTGATGGTACAGTGGTTAGAATGCAGTATTGCAGGCTAATTCTGCTGATTGCCAATTGCCAACAGTTTGGCAGTTCAATTCTCACCAGCTCAAGATTGACTCAGCCTTCCATTCTTTTGAGGTCGGTAAAATGGGGACCCAGATTGTTGGGGACAATATGCTGACTAAACCTCTTAGAGAGGGCTGTACAGCACTGTGAAGTGGTATATAAGTCTAAGTGCTGTTGCTATTCAAAATGGACAATGGTTAATATATATATGTATGGGTGTAGGTATATATATTATTATTATTACCTAAAATTTATATGCCGCCCAATCCCAAGGGACTCAGGGCGGCGTACAAAATTAAAACAATAATATGACAATAAAACAATAAAATAAATACATTCATACAGTGTGTCCGATCATATCCCCCCCCGGGGACATCAGCCCCAGGCCTGCCAGAACAGGAGAGTTTTAATGGCTTTCTTAAAGGCCGGCAGGGTGGGAGTAGTTTGAACCTCGGGGGAAGTTGATTCCACCAGGTCGGAGCCACCACAGAAAAGGCCCTTCCCCGAGGGCCCGCCAGCCGACATTGTCTGGCCGACGGGACCTGAATGAGGCCCAATCTGTGGGACCTCACTGGTCTCTGGGAACTGTGCAGCAGTATGCAGTCCTGTAAGTAACTTGGCCCTATGCCATGAAGGGCTTTAAAGGTGATAACCAATACCTTGAATTGTGTCTGGAGACCCACAGGAAGCCAGTGCAGCTCGCAGAGGATAGGTGACACATGGGCGTACCTTGGTGCGCCCACAATCGCTCTCGCGGCTGCATTCTGAACCAACTGCAGCCTCTGAACGCTCTTCAAGGGTAGCCCCATGTAGAGCGCGTTACAGTAATCCAGTCTTGAGGTGACAAGGGCATGAGTGACCGTGAGTAAAGCCTCCCGGTCCAAATAAGGCCGCAACTGGTGCATCAGGCGAACCTGGGCAAAGGTCCCCCTGGCCACAGCCGATAGATGTTGTTCCAAATTTAGCTGTGAGTCCAGGAGGACACCCAAGTTGCGTGCCTGCATTGAGGGAGGTAAATTTACCCCCCCCAAGACTAATGATGGACCATCCAGTTGGCCTTTCGGAGGCAAGACCCAGAGCCACTCGGTCTTGTCAGGGTTGAATCTAAGCCTGTTCACCCCCATCCAGGCACATCTTCCAGGCACCGGCACATCACGTCGACTGCTTCACTGAAAGGACACGGGGTGGAGATATACAATTGGGTATCATCTGCGTACTGATGATACCTCACCCCGTGTCACCAAATGATCTCACCCAGCGGTTTCATGTAGATATTAAAAAGGGGGGACAGGACCGAGCCCTGAGGCACCCCATGATCGAGGCGCCTAGGGGTCGATCTCTGTCCACCCGCCAACACCGACTGCGACCTATCAGAGAGGTAGGAGGAGAACCACCGCAATACGGTGCCGCCCACCCCCACCTCTCCGAGACGACGCAGAAGGATACCATGGTCGATGGTATCGAAAGCCGCTGAGAGGTCAAGAAGCACCAAGATAGAGGAATGACCCCTATCCCGGGCTCGCCAGAGGTCATCGGTCAGTGCGACCAAAGCAGTCTCAGTGCTGTAGCCGGGCCTGAAACCAGATTGAAAAGGGTCCAGATAATTAGTTTCATCCAAGGATCGCAAGAGTTGGGACGCCACCACCTTCTCTACAACCTTCCCCACAAAGGGGAGGTTGGAGACAGGACGAAAGTTCTTCAAAACAGCTGGGTCCAGGGAAGGCTTCTTGAGGAGGGGCCTCACCACCGCTTCCTTTAAAGGTTGCGGGAAAGACCCCTCCATCAAGGAGGTGTTGATTATCGCCTGGAGCCAACCTCGTGTCACCTCCCTACTGGCAGAAACCAGCCAGGAGGGGCACAGGTCCAGTAAACAGGTGGCGGCATTCATTGCCCTCACGGCCTTGTCCACTTCATCAGGCGTCACAGGCTCAAACTCGCTCCATATATACATATATATGTATGTATATAGCATGTTTATGTGTGTTATGTACGTGTTTTGGTAGATATATACTTCCTTTTGAGAGCAGGCAACAGAATTTCATTTGTACTGTGTGCCAGGATGCTCACGGTAAAAAATGACAATAAAGGTTATCTTATCTATCTTAAAAGATGTTTTACATTTCAAAAATTCTTTTTACACAGATCCTGAGAACTGCCCAATTCTGAGACAAAGACTACATGACACTACAACATGAGCGAGAATAAATGTGACACACAGTTTTACAGTGTTCAAGTTGCAGATTCAACATTCACTGTACTAAAACGCTACCAGCAATTGAAATCTATTGGATCTGGGGCTCAAGGTATTGTTTGGTGAGTAGGCAAAGAAATGGTAGCACCTATCTTTTCTTGGTTAATCCCAAAGAAACCTAGTAGGGTTATTTGTATGGAGAGCCATCATCTTTTATTTGTAGCAAACACTGTGTGTCAAGGCTCTGTGGGCTCGACACTAACGGGCGGGGGAAGGGGGCGTGAACAGCGTCTAGGGCGGTGGAGGAGACCAGCGACCTGCGCCGACAGACCTTCCCTCTCCTTCTATTACCTGGCCTGTCAATGGGCAGAGCGTGGCAGCGTGGTCGTCGGCTCTGCGGCTGCTTCGGCCCCTCGCCCACAGGCCCCATCTCCTGTGTACCCTCAGCCACTCCCCCAGCACCTGAACAGAATGCTGTCAGCCCACCAAGAGTAATGGGTAGGGACAAAAATGAAAAAAAAAAAAAAGAAAAACGGGAGCGCTGACTTTCTGTCAGAAACCCTTACCACACGAGTCGATGAGTTCACAGGTGGCTAGATTTAATCAAGGAACTTCTGGCATGCGTTTAGTTACATAAACAACAAAAAAGTTTGTTCCAGCCACCTGTGAACTCTTCGACTCATATCTTCTTGGAGCCAGGGGTGTGTACATTAGCCTTATTTTCAAAGAACCCGAGTTAGAATGTTGCTACTTCAATCTTTCAGTGCTGCATTTGATACCGTACTTGGAATAAATGTTGCTGTAAAGAAGCTAAGTCGTCCTTTTCAGAATCAAACCCATGCAAAACGAGCTTACAGAGAACTAGTGCTGCTGAAGTGTGTGAATCACAAAAATGTGAGTAAATTTAATATAGCATATATTGATATAGCATATATGTATTATATTTGAAACCACATGACTACCAAATAATGTTATGGATGGATGGATAAATAATCTGGGAATGTGCTAAATATTTAAAAATAATGTCAATATTTAATTTTCCTTCATGTTTTTATTGAAGAATTTTCAACCATTTCCTGTATTAGGCTTATTTGGCATAATTACTGATACAGCATGTTAGCACAGCAGTTTGAATTACATTGTTGGTAATTTCATTTATTTTAATATTTTTAATATCATATAGCTTACCGTGTTTACTGTACCTTCTAAGATTGCTTATACTGACGTGTGAAATTATACAAGTAAGCTTTTATATAAAATAAAAAGCTTGAGCCAGTCATTCTATCTCAACCCTAGAAAGCAAGCAATGGCAAACCACTTCTGAAATCTTGCCTGAAAAACTGCAGGGATTGTCTATGCCAGTGGTTCTCAACCTTTCTAATGCCGCGACCCCATAACACAGTTCCCCATGTTGTGGTGACCCTCAACCACTTATACATCACCGGGTGCCAGGGGCATGGCCAAAAAAAAGGGGGAAAAATGGCGGACAGCCTTGTTTGGCGACTCCTGTGAAATGGTCGTTCGACCCCAAATGGGGTCCCGACCCACAGGTTGAGAACCACTGGTCTATGCACTTGCTAGGAGTTAACTCTGACTTGAAAGCACCAAAGGAAAAAAAGGACAGAAGTTTAATCCTTAATAATATTTGTAGATTTGAGTGTTAATAGAAAACATTCATATTATAGTTTTGGAGTACCGTACTTTCCGGCATATAAGACAACTTTCGCAAGCGTTAAAATTGGCGCCGAAGTCGGGGGTCGTCTTATACACCGAGTCGTCTTATATGCCGGAAATAACGGTAGTTTCCGGCGTATAAGATGACTTTCTAGGCACGCGACTCGGCGCCAAAGTCGGGGGTCGTCTTACACGCCGGGTCGCCTTATACGCTGGAATATATGGTAAATGCATCCGTCAGTTGTCATTACAGTCTAAGATAATGTAATGGAGCAAATCTTAATAGTTTGCATTAAAACCTTTTACCAATATTAATGAAATATGATAATTATAGAAATTGCTTTCTATGAGGTGAGAAATGTGTAGAATTTATTATCCTAAAAATAATTTTATTTACCTTAGCTTTTGTTTCACTTTGTAATAAATCTACTGTGAAAGCTGTTTGAAATGTTTTTTTCTTTAATATGTACTTCAACTATAAAATTTCAGATATAATTATATGTTCGGTGCAGCCATATAAAACTATATATAAGAAAATGAGATAATATTGTTGAAACACAGAAGTTCTATTATTATATTAGAAAAAACTGAAAACGTTCAAATTTTTCATAAAAATCTATTTACCATATATATTAATTTTGCCAGACATTGCTGAAAGTGGAATGATAGTCCATTGACTTGCTTCATAAATTTGCAACCAATATTGGTATAAACTTATTAAAATAGTTTAGACAATAACATCTTGACTGCTCTTTATGGTTTTGTGACTCTTATTCCCCCCAAACTCATATATACTTGATTATTCTGCGTTTTTACTTCAGTATTTTAGAATATTTATACTGTAATATTCTTTGATCTTAGCACTCCCAGAATGTTTCATATTAACATATTAACTGAATGATCTGGTTATTACATCATCATTGTGCAATTTTGTGATTGTGCTAATTTTGTTTATTTCTCTCTGACTTCTGGTTTTACAGATAATTAGTCTATTAAATGTATTTACGCCACAGAAGTCATTAGAAGAATTTCAAGATGTGTAAGTTTATTTTTTTAATTTATTGTTTTTTCATAAATATACATTTTGACCAATAATTAGCTCAACATACGATGCTTCCTAATGTATCCTTAATGATATTTCAGTAAATATGAGAAATGTATGTATATAATATCTGTCTGTCTATCTATCTAATTTGTTCAGCTAAGAATAGTAGTAAGACAAGTGATTCTTCCCATTAAAGTGCATATTGGAACTGATTTTGGAGGTACAATAGTTCACATTCTTGTTTTAACTATACTCTACTTTGTTATGGACAACATGCCAATTTAAAAAATCTGTCTGTCTATCTGTCTGTCTGTCTGTCTGTCTGTCTGTTTATCTATCTAATCTTCTGTAGTTATCATAATAGTAGTAGTAGTAGTAGTAGTAGTAGTAGTAATAATAATAATAATAATAATAATAATAATAATAATAATAATAATAATAATAATAAAGTTGGAAGGGATCTTGGAGGTCATCGAGTCCAACCCCCTGCTCAGGCAGGAAACCCTATACCACTTCAGACAAATGGCTGTCCAGTCTCTTCTTAAAAATTTCCAGTGTTGGAGCATTCACCAATTCTGGAGGCAGGTTGTTCCACTGGTTAATTGTTCTAACTGGCAGGAAGTTTCTCCTTAGTTCTAGGTTGCTTCTCTCCTTGATTAGTTTCCATCCGTTGCTTCTCGTCCTGCCTTCAGGAGTTTTGGAGAATAGCTTGACTCCCTCTTCTTTGTGGCAGCCCCACTTATTGTTAAGTTTGCGGACGATACAACAGTAGTGGGCCGTATCCAAGATGATGAGGAGATAGAAGGTTTGCTGAACTGGTGTAAGAAAAACAGTCTAGTTTTAAATGTTGGAAAAACTAAAGAGATCATTGTCCGTTTCAGAAAAGGCAGGCACAACCACACTCCTCTTTGTATAAATGATTGACTTGCGGAGATGGTTAACACCTTCAAATTTCTGGTGTGGAGCTAACGAGTAGGCTGGCTTGGTCACTCAACAGTGAGACACTGGTGAAGCGGGTACAGCAGCTCCTGCATTTTCTGCATAGCATGCGAGAAGTATATCTTCCTTCCCCTGTCCTTACCATTTTCTATAGAGGGACGATTGAGAGCATCCTGTCATATTGGATTACAATCTGCTTTGGAAGCATCACATACTGTAGCTATCTATTCAAGATGGACAGTGATTAATAGTTATATGTACTTATATGTAAAGGTGTAAGTATATACATATGTTGTATATAGCATGTTTATATGTGTGTTATGTATGTGTACACCTTTGAGAGAAAGCAACAAAATTTCATTTTTAATATGTTCCAGTGTGCCCACAGTAAAAAAATGACAATAAAGGTTATCTTATCTCTCATTAAATAAAAATAAAAACCCACAATAAAAGTACAAAGTATAACAGAAAGTAACAATAGTAAATTTAGCTGTAATAGCAGACAGCACCTCTCCAATAATTCTCTCAACATTGTCCAGAAAAGACTTGTCCTATTTCAGAAATGCTAATGCTGTAGGTTTCACTCCAGTCTTTAGTGGGAGAGCAGTCCACAAAAATACTGGAAAATACTTTTTGGGTCCCCATTTTCTTTACCCCAGAAAAATTGATTGAGCTATTGTGGTACAATGCATTTTGCTGTGCTACACATGAATTATATGTTGCTTTTTTAATTCAGCTTGTTTCCTCTGAGCTTGGTTGTTTTCTTGCAGACGTTTCATTATCCAAACTACTAACATCATCAGTGCTAGTGGGAAGTGTATATGTGCTCTCAGTGTATATACTGATGGCCCCTCCTTACTAGCACTGATGGTGTTTATTTAGTTTTGATCTGCAAAAAAACAACCATGCTCAGAGATCACCAAGGACCCCCTTCAAACCTGAGTTAAAATATGCTCTTCTATTGCCAATTTGTTTTTCTAGTTTATTAAATTTTAAGCTAATGTCATATAGTAGTGATGGCGAACCTTTTAGAGACTGAGTGGCCAAACTGCAAGCCCAAACCCACTTATGCATCGTTGAGTGCCGGGTGGGCGTGGCCAACTGGGTGGGTGTGGCCCATTGGGTAGGCGTGGCTGCGGTGGTAACAGCAGACTGGGTGGGACTAAAAAGTTCAATCAATCAATTCCAACTTTGCAAGATCTTTTTTTTCCCTCGAGAAGTTGAAATTGACTGATTGAACCTTTTTTTTTTTTTTTTGTACATGGCGGCGGAGGCCTAAAGTGAAAAGGTTTTATAAAATCCAGCTGGAGGCCTAGGACTGGGGCGATGGTGCACATGCCCACAGAGAGGGCTCTGAGTTCCGCCTCTGGCACCCGTGCCATAGGTTTGCCACCAGTGTCATATAGTTAAGGTATTGAATGAGCACTGGGAAGATCCAGCTGCTAGCCTACTCTCAAGCTTATTGGGTGAGTTTGGCTAGTCTTTATTTCTTGATCTACCTGACCTAACAGAGTTGTTGCTATGAAGAAAAATTTAATAATTCAATGGTTCAAGTTTAAACGGTTCAAGTTTAACACTTTAATCAACTGTTTCATTTTAATTGTAATATTCTGTTCTTTGTTCCATTTTACTAAATGTTTTCTATTTGATTTTAAAATAAAATAAAAAGGTGTATATCTGACTGTTAAACACTGTGACAATCTTTGATTAAAATGATTTCTGCATAAGCATGCAGGTAGTCCTCGCTTAATGACTACCCTGTAGAGTGATTATTCAAAGTTACTATGCTGCTGAAAAAGTACAATCAGTCCTCACACCTACGGCCATCACAAGGTCCCTGTAATCATATGATCAAGATTTAAGCCTGTGTTATCTCACTTATTGTACTGGAACTATTTTATGTTGAAAAAAATACACTGATAGCTTGAAATGTGTATGCATGAAATAGAATGGATGATATTTACTTTTTTAAAAAAAATATTTCAGGTATTTGGTTATGGAATTGATGGATGCTAATTTATGCCAAGTTATTCATATGGAGCTGGATCATGAGAGAATGTCCTATCTTTTATACCAGATGTTGTGTGGGATCAAACATCTTCATTCAGCTGGTATCATCCACAGAGTAGGTAGTGCTGTTATAATCACACTATTAATTGACTTTTATTTTGCATTGTTATGACTATATCTTCTAAAAATCTTTCTCTAGATCATTTTATATTCCCATGCAAAAAAATAAAAGTGTATAAAAATGACCGTAATTTTCATGGATTACTTAGATGCACTGTTACTAAGAATCTTATCTGCCTTGGTTTTATCAAAGTATATAATTGGGTAAGATTTCTTTAGAGCTATATTGTTGCTTTGATACTCATCTGTGGATTTTGACATCAGGGTGAAGAATGCACAGGTATTTGGCACAATTTCTTTATTCTGTTCCACTCCAACCAAATGTGACTCTCAACAGCTTATAGGAGTAATATTAAAATATATAATAAGAGTCAAATTATTCGCTTCTTGAGGAGAGTCTGCATTGTTTTCTCCTTCTTCATGGCAAGCAGCACCACCTTGTGTCCATTAATTGTCACATATATCCATCCTCCTGTTACGTCCCTAGAGTGGAAATATTTGAAATTTAAACATATTGTTAGATACCTGCATTTAAATTCATAATGGTTGTATGTTTATAATGCTAATATTATGAAATCACCATGCCTTACAGAAATGTACCAATAGCTAAATGTTGTTGTGTTTGATTTGCCGTAACCTCTCTCTATATTTTTTCACCATAAGTTCCTTTTTTTTCCTTCCAGAAAAGGGGAATCCACTAAGTAGAAAAAGATGGTGGTGCCTTTTGATTGTACTGGTGTAGGAACCATCTCTCTGAAGGCATCCAATTGTTAAGATGAAATTTAGAGAATGTCTTTTTCCCCCTTAAATTAGCCTTTACCCAGTACTGCATGTTCTTAGCTGTTACCTGTCATTTCATTCAGAATTAGGCTTAATAATTTAAGATTGTATAGCCTACCTGGATGTTCCAGTTACTTTTACGTTTATTTTTAAAATAATGTGTTCACTTGGGAAGTTCTTAATGTGGGCTACGCTGTCAGTATTATTAGTAAACATTAAACACTAGATAAATTTACAAAGAAGTGTAAGCACTTTTCCAGCTGTTGGAAATATGCCAGTGCTAAGGCAAAATGGGATTAAAGTTTCAGTTCCAAATAACTTTTTGCATAGAGGTAACTGAGAGCAGGATTCATTGGAATTTTCAGTCAGGTGGAAAGCATCCATGACATCTTTCATCATCTGTTCAATGTGATTAATTGATCAATAGGTTTTGCTTGTCATGTATGGCAGAATGTGCTGACTTTTAAGGATTACACTACTTTTTCAGCATTTAACTGAATGCATTTTTTGTCCTTAGGATTTAAAACCCAGCAATATAGTAGTAAAATCAGATTGTACTCTCAAAATCCTTGACTTTGGACTTGCAAGAACAGCATGTACTAATTTCATGATGACCCCATATGTAGTAACACGATATTATAGAGCACCAGAAGTTATTCTAGGCATGGGATACAAAGAGAATGGTAAGTTACAGGATAGAAGTGACATGTTTGGAGTACTTGATCAATGGTTAGATTTTTCTGTTTTTTCACTGTCTCACCATAAGCCTACTAGTTTCAGACGGTAACTTAGTTTTCTTGCCCTGTGAGGTAATTACCTGGGTCAGTTTGGCTAGGCTTGTTCAGAGAAGGAGTCTTTCTTTAGAAGATGGAAATGGCATAATATAATAGCAAGTGAGACAACTCAGCCATTGATACTAAATAGCCCCCTGGAATGAAGAGGATTTCATGCTTTGGCCTAGTGTAGGAAGTAGCTTTAGTAACAGGAGATAATGTTTTGGCCAGTAGCAGTTCCACACTTGACCCAGCTGCTCAGTTATGCAACTTTAGTTCTCAGCACTTTCTGGGAAGTACCTGCGGATTGCTTACAGTAAAAGTGGTACTTCTATCCTTGATTATTGTACACATGATAGTTGACAGAAACCTTCTGCAATATCTTCATGAGTACAGAATGAAAGCTAATGATAAAATTGATTTTCTGAATTGCTAAATTGGAATGTTAATGGTAAAAAGTACCACTTGTGAATAAGCCAAGTGTTTTTTAATTTTCACAATTGGCTTATCCACAGATGGGTGCATCTTTCACGGTATTTTGGTTGAAAATACAGCTTAACCATGGTTGGCTTTATCGGTAGAATTATATAGGATATGTGGGTACTTTTAAAAAACATTACCATATATATTTGCAGAAAAGCCCATCTGTGGGTGAGCCAAACTCAATTCTTTGGGTGTATTTTGGCATTTAAAATTCTTGGCTTATTCACAAATATGTGCACTACATTTGTCAATGACTCCTTTACAATACAATTACTTTATGAAAATGTATGTATAGAGTTTTTAAAAATGTTTAATTTTATCCCCATTACACTTAACGTTTAATAGTGGATATCTGGTCTGTTGGGTGCATAATGGCTGAAATGGTTCTCCATAAGGTCCTGTTTCCTGGAAGAGATTGTATCCTTTGCAGCTCTTTCAGGGAGTTCAGATTATTCAAAATAAGACTGATATGTGTGTGTGTGTTGTGTGCTGTGTATGCGTGTGTGTGTGTGTAAAGCAAATTTCTTGTATGCCTGTTATATATATATATAAATTTACTTTTAATGGTGTTCTGGTATTTTAAATTTGTAATTAGATCATTATTCCTGTCCATATTGTTTCAAAACATGTTAGATGTTTTACTTTATGCATTGTTATGTTTTAAATGTAAAAATGTTTTTTTGTTTTCTGCTTTAGTTCATAACTTCATAATTTTTATCATTTCACTTTTATTTTCAGTTGATATCTGGTCAGTTGGTTGCATCATGGGAGAATTGGTGAAAGGTTGTGTGATATTCCAAGGCACTGATCGTATCCTTCCCTAATAATCTTTGAATCCTAATTCATATTTAACAACACATTATTTGATTTATGGGTATAAAAGATGCTAATCCCATATACTCAGTGGAACAGTTCTTTCTTGTATGAACCAAATTTGTGAAATTTGTTGTTTCAATAAAACAGCTAAACTTTTATTCTCATATTAATTGCATTAACTTTAGTTTTTGAACATTAATTGTCCATTACAGGAGTTTTATATTTTGCAGGAGTTTTATATTTTGCAGTTTAAATAACATTTATTTAAACTAAAAATTCTGCAAACTGTTGCTCAAAATTTAAACCGATTGCTTTTTTTTTTTTCATTTTTCTGTATGATGGAAATGGATTCAACTATGGTTTTATCTTGTCACTTCTTATTCTGCTACATACCTAAAGAAGGCATGAAGGTTAGAAAAGTATAATTACAAATGCTTAATTTTAGGTATATTAATGGTTGATTATGTATTAACCTATTGACACAATAAAAGAGAGGAAGCTTGATTTTCATTTTTTTGAATTTCTGCCCTGTATTCTTTTATTCTCTAAAGCCTTATGACCAACCTAACACAATTCTTCATGAATGCTGTGTCTCCTGTGGATTTCATGTTAATGCTGATTTTCATATTTGCTGTCTTCATATTTGTGTCTTTCATGCTTAGTAAAACCCTTTGCAATAAATATATCTTAAGTTATGAGAATCTTGCCAACCTGGTACCCTTGTTGTTACTTTTTATTACTGAAGTTGCATTGGGTTGAACATACGTTGCAGAAATAATTGCAGTTTCTTCAGAAGTGTAAGTTTATGATTGAACAGGAACAGATCCAGAGAAAGCAGTGGTCTTCACATATTAATGTTTTAGGTCAAGAGTGGATGACATTTTAAGGTGAAGGCTGTAATTTAGCCTTCTTGACCTGGAGGACTAGTGATGCAGTGAGATGTGATTGATTTTTTTTTTTTTTTTTGCCTTTGTTATATTTGACAGCGGGAGGAGGCGGGATTTATATTGCTACAAATCTCATCTTCAGATTTGTGCCCTTTCCCTTTCCTAACATCTAGGAGAATCTACATTTTAACTTTAACTGTGCTATTAATTCCCTAATCTGATGTTCTTCAGAAGTATAAAAACTTGAATTCATAGAGAGCAAGCCATAAGATTAGTCTCATCAGTGGATGGAATATTAAAAACTCGGAAAGATCATGTTGATAACGTCATATCTCCAGCATGAAAGGCACAGGTTTTTTTTTTAAAAAAATAGCATTACTTTTGAAATGTGCAACAATTTCCTTCCATATTTATGTTGAAAATTCTTATCTTTATATTGGGTTTGTTTTCCCCTCCTTTATACGTCTTGCTCTGCAGCCATGCTTCTTCAATATATTTTCTAAGTACTTTTTTTCCTGTTGGGTTGTCGGGTTGATGTAGGGATTTCTTTATCTGTCCTATTGATTCCTTTCAGAATCTGGTGTAATTATGTTAGTGGTGAGTATCTATGATCATACTGATCATTGTACAGACTGTTGTTTTATACTCTTGAGTAAAGCCAAGAAAATAAAGAGTCATTGTATTTATATTTTAAATAAGTTTATGCACACAGACACACTAACACTTTTTTTGCTCCAGACTGATGGAATCCTTTAATAAAAATATTTACCTATACAGATCAATAACTGGCTTTATTAGCACAATTTACTGATTGTTTTGATATTTTATAGTACTAAATTTTGTATATAAAATTTATATAGCCACCTGTCTCCTCCCAAAGAGAACTTTTTGACCGTGTGTCAAAAGAAGGAAGTTTTATTTTGAATCTTCTATATAATATGTTAATTCAGCTGACAATCTCATGCTTATGCAAATTGTCACATGATTAGGGTAGCTAGAGGCAAACAGGGTGTACAGTATATGAAATATATTAACTATGTAATTGGTTTCATTCTTACTGGGAATCTTCAGTTGTATGTAGCTAGATCTTACTCTATAGATAGTATATTAAGAGCTACAGAGAAGGTGGATCGTATATCCCGTTCCGACAGAATCTATATTTTTGCCTGTCTAGCTCTCTAGCTTTCTAGTTTTGTAGCTTATTTATACAGCTACCAATCCCTTTCTGAAACGCTATTAAGCAACAGGACCTGGATAGCTTTTAAAGCTAATGCTTTGTATACAGTCATCTAAAGTTCAATGGGCTATGAATTCTGAACCCAGTAGAAGGTTTGAATCCCATAAAATAAGATCTGCATTGCTTATATCTGACAGTTCCCACTAAGGATGAAACTGGTCACCTACTGCCTCCTGGTGGTCAATGTGCTTTAATTATTTGATTTTCAGGCTTTTTAAAAAATATTCAAGATATCATGAAATCATATTGAAGAGAATGGGTTCAGAGTGAAGCAGAAGCTAAAAACAAGCCTACATATACCCTATGAATTTTAGCAGCATTATCCAGTCAGTCTTGTGAACTTCGTTCATTCAAATTAATGGTCTTGAGATTTTGTTTTTTTTTTTAACCACAATTTCTGTAAGAACCTGTTTTTTAAAATAAAGGTGTTGTTTAAAATAGCACCTACGTTTTCCAAAGTTCCACATACTTGCAATATAAAGTTGGAAGGAAAAAATGTTATTTTCCTAAATGAAAAATTTTGCAGATATTGATCAGTGGAATAAAGTTATTGAACAATTAGGTACACCGTCAGCAGATTTCATGAAAAAACTACAGCCCACTGTACGGAATTATGTAGAAAACAGGCCGAAATATCCAGGTATCAAATTTGAAGAACTGTTCCCAGACTGGATATTTCCATCAGAGTCTGATCGTGATAAGCTAAAAAGTAAGTGTATGTGTACAAGTTTAGTAAAGAACTAGGATTTTTGATTTGTTTTGCTACAATTTTGTAGAAATTGTATTTGTCAGGTTACAGTCAGAATCTATCGTGCTAACTTGTTGATTTATTATTTCATTTTTTCCAACTGAATCAGCCCGAGATTCCAGTGAAATAATTTAATCTGTGGAAATTCAGATATCAAGCTCCAAGATCAAATTTTGAAATTTAGCATTCTGAATGATAGTTTAACTGTTGAAGAAAAGTACAATACTTATTCTAGTTGATACATAAAAATAAAAATAACCTGGTTTTAGATCACGTGAAGTATTAATACTACCTTACAATGCCTTGGTAAGGCTACACTTGGAATATGTCATCCAGTTTTGGTCACCACAATGTAAAAAAGATGTTGAGACTCTAGAAAGTACAGAGAAGAGCAACAAAGATGATTAGGGGACTGGAGGCCAAAGCATATAAGGAAAGGCTGCTGGAATTGGGTATGTCTAGTTTAATGAAGAGAAGGAGGAGAGGGGACATGATAGCAGTGTTCCAATATCTCAGGGGCTGCCACAAAGAAGAGGGAGTCAAGCTATTTTCCAAAGTGCCTGAAGGCAGGATAAGAAGCAACAGATGGAAACTAATCAAGGAGAGAAGCAATCTAGAACTAAGGAGAAACTTCCTGACAGATAGAACAATTAACCAGTGGAACAACCTGCCTCCAGAAGCGGTGAATGCTCCAACACTGGAAGTTTTTAAGAAGAGACTGGGTAGCCATTTGTCCAAAATGGTATAGGGTTTCCTGCCTGAGCAGGGGGTTGGACTTTATGACCTCCAAGGTCCCTTCCAACTTTATTATTATTGTTGTTGTTATTGTTGATTTTAGAAAGAACCAGCAGAGTCATACTCCACCTTATATTAAGGCTGCACCTGTGGAGGTGGTCAATAGCATTAAGTGCCTAAGGGTTCAGATAACTAACAATCTGACTTGGTCCCTTCCTACATTATCCTTAGTGAAGCGTGCAAATCAGCATTTGCATTTCTTGCTTCAGATGAGAAAAAGGACCTTCTGTCCTGGCCACTTTTTATAAAGGCACGATTGAGAGCGTTTTAACAAAATTCATCACTGTCTGGTTTGGTGGCTGCAGTGCCTCAGATAGAAGATCCATACAGAGAGTGGTAAGGACAGCTGAGAAGGTCATAGGAAGCTCGCTTCCCTTTATTCAGGGCACTGCTTATAAGCGCTATGTGCTTAGAGCTCGAAGCATTGTTAGAGACCCCACACACCCACTTCACTGTCTGTTTCCCCTCTGGGAGGAGGTTTCAAAGTATTTCCAGATTCTAATAACATCTGTGTTCCTTATGCCATCCATCTTGTAAATTTGCAGGATTCTTTTTTTTTTTTTTTTGCCATGTTATGTATACATTCGAACTACACTATGATGTTTCTCTGTGTCATATATATGTGTGTATGTGGATATATGCATAATGGTGTTTTTTGAGAGCTGAATGTAATGAAATTTCATTTTAATGTATGCTGATTAGTGTACATTTACAGTGGCAATAAAGTTTTTATTCTGTTCTATACATATTCTTAATATTGTCTCTAATGTAAGAAATTGTGGGTATCTGTTTTTAATTGTCTGATTATATTTACAAGTAGTACTCCTATCAGTTTCATCATCTGATATTGTGAATATCCCAAGTTCTGATATTACTTAGTACCTGATATTAATAAACAAACAAAAGAATAAATTATCTTTAACAATGAAATGCCTTTAACACGATAGATAGATAGATAGATAGATAGATGATAGAATTTTATCTTTATGCATCAAAATTTTAATTGCAAGACATTTTTTCTATTCCTGTTTTCTAGCGAGTCAAGCTAGAGATTTACTATCAAAAATGCTAGTAGTAGATCCAGACAAACGAATTTCAGTAGATGAAGCTTTGCGACATCCATATATCACAGTTTGGTATGACCCAGCTGAAGCAGAAGCAGTAAGTATACCTTAAGATCTTTTTATTTTTATGTATATAACACTCAGTAACAAAGATTGCCTTCTTTTTTCATGAATTTAACATTTTACTATAATTTACATAACATATAAGGAAGAGTAAATCATCTGAAGATAGCATAATAATAAAATAATGATGATGATTATCATTATTTTATTATTAAAATATATGATTAAAAGTAATAATTTAAAATTCACTTTTGTTGTTGTTAATTGCGAAGTCGTGTCCGACCCCTCGCGACCCCGTGGACAATGTTCCTCCAGGTCTTCCTGTCCTCTACCATCTTCTGGAGTCCATTTAAGTTCACACCTACTGCTTCAGTGACTCCATCCAGCCATCTCATTCTCTGTCGTCCCCTTCTTCTATTGCCCTCAATCTTTCCCAGCATTAGGCCCTTCTCCAGTGAGTCCTTCCTTCTCATTAGGTGGCCAAAGTATTTTGAGTTTCAACTTCAGGATCTGGCCTTCTAAAGAGCAGTCGGGGTTGATCTCTTCTAGGACTGACCGGTTTGAACGCCTTGCAGTCCAAGGGACTCGCAGGAGTCTTCTCCAGCACCATAGTTCAAAGGCCTCAATTCTTTTGCGCTCAGCCTTTCTTATGGTCCAACTTTCACAGCCATACATTGCAACTGGGAAAACCATGGCCTGGACTATACGCACTTTTGTTGGCAGGGTGATGTCTCTGCTTTTTAGTATGCTGTCTAGATTTGCCATAGCTTTCCTCCCCAGGAGCAAGCGTCTTTTAATTTCTTGGCTGCAGTCCCCATCTGAGGTGATTTTTGAGCCCAGAAAAATAAAATCTGTCACTACCTCCATTTCTTCGCCATCTATTTGCCAGGAATTGAGAGGGCCGGATGCCATGATTTTGGTTTTCTTAATGTTGAGTTTCAAGCCAACTTTTGCATTCTCCTTCTTCACCCGCATCAAGAGGCTCTTTAATTCCTCTTCACTTTCTGCCATTTGCGTGGTGTCATCTGCATATCTTTAAAATTCACTAAAAGATTTTAATATTGGAAAGACCAATCAGAATAGATGACTCTTGCATTTCACTTGATAAGTCATTGATAAGTCATTTAGTAAGGATTCTGCGTATAGGGCATTTATAGGTAGTCTTTGGGTCTATATAAAAAAATATTAATTCCAACACTTGAATTGGACTTGAAAACTTAATAGATTCCAGTTCAGATGACAACATACAGTCATATCATCATCACAATCACTAATAGAATCAAGAGTGCACCAAAATACTGTTCCTAGCTCCATAAGTAATGGTTTCATTTTTAACTGTAATATTTACAGCTGTATTTATCGAAAGATAAAGTAGCACTGTTTTTTTGTTTATAGCCACCTCCCCAAATCTATGATGCACAATTGGAAGAAAGAGAACATGCCATTGAAGAATGGAAAGGTAAGTAAAACTTGCAATATATTTGGCAACTTTGATAAAATATTTTGCGGATATCCCATAAAGAACTGGAATAGAGATAAAGTGAATATACCCTTTTGCATAAATCATAGTGCATTTTCCTGCTAAGCAAATTTATATTCTACTAAATATCAGTGTTGATATTTAAAATTGGGTTGTTTTAATTTAAATGTCATGTTGTTTTCATCATCAACAATAAAAACATTTTCATCTGCAATAAAATTTAGAACTTTAAAGATTTTGTCCAAGCAAAACTTACTCTGATTTTATTGTATCATTCTTTTTCTCTTGGCAATACTGAAAAGTATTCTCAGCAGTATCTAAAAATGAATTAAAAATAACTACTTTATTATATGCTGTCAAATTTTCTTAAGGGACTATTCAAAGTAAGCCTAAGTGGATGCAGGTCTTCAGCTTTGGTATTGCAAAGCGATTAATCGTCTAGCTTCCATGAACATATGTGCGCTCTCTCTCCCTCTCCCTCTCCCTCTCTCTTTCCCTCTCTCCCTCCCCCCCCCTCCCTCTCTCCCCCTCTCCCTTCGTCTCCCTCCCCCTCCCTCCTTCTCTCCCTCTCCCTCTCCCTCTCTCCCTCCCTCTCTCTCTCTCTTGCTCTGCAGGATGAAGGCCTCTTCCATATGTTTCCAACCCATACGGTCCTGAGCTTTCTTTTGCCAATACTTGCTGATGTCCTTAATCCATCTTGTTTTAGATCTCTTTCGTGGATGCTTTTTATCGACTGGGACCCATTCTATGACTGCCTTGCTCCACCTGCCATCAGTTATTCTTGCTAGGTGATCATTTTCATTTCAATTCTTTTACTCTCTTGATGGCATCGTATACCTTCGTTTGTTCTCTAATCCATGTGCAGGTCTTTCTTTTCTTGTAATGCCGAGCGTGTATCTTTCCACAGCTCTTTGCACCACTCACGGCTTTTGTATCGATAGTGAGGTTAGTGTCCGTGTTTCACCGGCATATAAGTTACAGCAGGTCGCACGCACTGATCGAAAACATTTCAGGCAGAGGGGGAGGTTGTTCTTGAAAATGATGCTTAGCTTGCTGAATGCCTGCCAATCACATTTAACACACTGTTCATTTTTTTTTACTATATCACCTTCCATTGAAATCTATTGGTCAAGGTATAGGTAGTGGTCTACTACATCTATTCTTTCTTTGGTGAATTTATTAAACATATCCTGGCTCTTTTTCAGGTTTATTTTTAAGCTAAATGGTTCTCACACTTTGTGCAGTTCTTGTAGGTGTCTTTGTAGCTCTTCTGGGTCTTGTGAGAAGAGAACAACATCATCTGCAAATCTTAAGGGATTTAAATAGGTGCCATTGATTTTTATTCCATCTTTTGCCCAGTCTTGTTTGTGAAATACTTCTTCAAGGCAGGCTGAGAAAAGGATAGGTGCTATTGTATTTCCTTGTCATACACCTCGTTCTATGTTGGCTTCCACTTTAAGATCATTAAGGCAAATTGTCATTGTTTTTATATATATTGATTGTAGTAAATTTATGTAAGCAGTGTCTAAGCCTTGGTTAAGCAATGCATTAATTATTGCTTGCTGGAATACTGAATCAAATGCCTTTTTGTAGTCAATGAAGCCATGTACAGAGGCGTGATGTACTCCTTGTGCCTTTCAATGATTTGCTGAACAATCTGGATGTGATCCATTGTGCTTTAGCCACTTCTGAACCGTGCTTGGTCTTTGGCTGTGCGTCCTTTAATGTTCTCAATATTCTTTTTGCTATTATCTTGGGGAAAACCTTGTGGAGGAGTGAAAGAAGACTTATTGGGTGATAGTTCTTTAAATCATCTTGGATCCCTTTCTTGTGTATAAGAATCACTTTTGCATTTTTCGATGCATTGAGTATTTTTTCTTCTCTAAGGCATCTCAAATATAATTTTGCTAGTATTTTGTGTAAACTGTGACCACCAGCTTTCAGCATTTCAACCATAACACAATAATTTCCTGAAGCTTTGCCATTTTTCATTGATTTTATGGCACTTGGTACTTCTCCCACTAGTATATCTGGCATTTCCTCTTTTGTGGGTGTTGTTACTTTTGAGTGATCTTGATATTTGTATAGCTCTAAATGGAATTTTCTAATTATTTCTAAAATTTACTGTCTTGTTCTGCACACAGAGCCATCTTCACGTTTTAATGCAAAAACTTTCTGTCTTATATTTATAAGCTTGCATTTTGCTCTATTAATCCCTTTGCTTTCTTCAATTGATGTATTTTTTCTTGGATACATTTTCTTATGGTCTTGCAAAGTTCAATATACTCCAGTTTATTAGTGAAGCTTCTTGTATTCTTCATTCTCTGTCATTTTTCCATTAAATCAATACTTTCACCAGAGATTTTCGACTGTACAAAGTGTTTTTCTGATGGTGCTATAGATGTAGCAGATTCAAGGGATGTTTTTGACTATTTGTTCATTTTGGTCTGTAATGTTCATATATATATATATATATATATATATATATATATATATGTATGTATGTATGTATGTATGTATGTATATATTCAGCAAGTATTGCAGGCTCAGTTGGCAAAAGAAAGCTCAGGCCCATATAGGTTGGAAACATGCAGAAGAGGTCTTCATTTTGCAATGGATAGATAATGGCTAAAATGATGACGATGCTATATATATAATTTTGTCATGAGAACAATGAAGATCTTGTTAGAGACTGTTTTAAACATTTCAAGATTATGAAAGGCAATGAAAGCAACAAGTGTATTATTGTTTCTTATGTCCATATTTATTCTCTTCTTTATATGTAGAGTTAATATATAAGGAAGTAATGGATTGGGAAGAAAGAAATAAGAATGGTTTGGTAAAAGAACAGTCTTCAGGTTAGTCATTGATATAATAGATTATTTTTTCCTTTTGCATTTTTTTATGGTAAGTTGTTTTATTCACAATTGCTAACAAAGGATGGGTACTAAATAAGTTATGTATCTTGCAATGGATAATATACACACATGACTAGAAACAAGATAAAAAGCTTTTTGATTACAAAAAAAGAGGCTGTAAAAAGTTAAAAACTTTTACACAGATGGAGAGATATGCCATTTCTCTTTTGAAACAATTTTACTTGGTGTATGCTTGGTTGCTAGGAATTCTGGTTTATTCAGAAATATTTTCCTGGGAGCGGTGCAGGTTCATTGCTCTTCATGAGAAGCAATAATTTGCTCTCTGTAAACTTTCTTAATTGCAGTATATGACACAGGTAAATAGAAACATTGCCTGATTTGTACTCCAAGGGAATGTTAAGTGTTATGAGTGTCAGTTTGCACCTAGCTTTCAGGAACAAATCAAAATAGTTATTTCCATCACTTTTGAAAATGCAAAGTCTATTAGTATCCAAGCTATTACTTCTCCTGAGTAAATCACAGGCCTGTGGCCCTGCAGACAGCATTATCGAAAGTATTATCTATCTGTGATGCTAAATGTGATTTTCTTGCAACACTGTAGATAGTTACAGCTCTTTTGTTTCCCTTGTGAAAATGAAGCATAGAGAATGGAGCTGATAATATGAATCTGGATGTTTGACAACATTCCTTGTAAAGTAGGATTGTTATGGCGTGAAACTGCTAATCAAAGGATGGCACCCTCTTCCTAGTTATATTTCTAGGAGGAGAAAACATGGAGAGACAGTTTGGGAAGGTGCAGGTGAAAGGACACATCTGAGGTATTCAAGACTGTGAATGCCATCCCTTGTCAAGATGGTAGTACTAGGAATAATCTCAGTAAAGGCTAATTTTGACAGGATATGGATAATTTGCAAAAATAAGCGAACCTGTTTTAAAATTCTTTTTTTTAAAAAAAAAACTTTCACAAAAAATTATTTATTGAAACTGCATTTGTTTCTATATTGATTGTGTGTCTTCCCTACATTCTGCCTGGTTTTGTTACCTTAGAGACTGCCTTCGAAGGGACATTTTTCAAATTGGCATTGTTTTTCCATGCATATGTTTTTAAGTGCACATACCTTTATGCCACATAAAACACCTATGCTTTCAACCATGTCTTGCCTCAGATTTTCTTATGCTTGGTTTACTTAGCACAGATGCAGCAGTGAACAGCAATACCAGCCCTTCTCAGTCATCATCAGTCAACGACATTTCATCCATGTCAACAGAACAAACATTGGCTTCAGACACGGACAGCAGCCTTGATGCTTTGACAGGAACACTTGAAGGATGTCGGTGATCAGCTTCGAAGATTAAGATTAGCAAAGAGTCTTTGCTTCTGTTGGGCCTCTATTGCTTGTAAGTTCATGGAGCCAAATAGAAAACTTCATGTTCTGCATGTTCCTCTAAAATAATGCCTGTGATTTTACTCAGTTGCAGTAAAACTGTCTGCTTAATATTGTAGAGTGAAAGCAACTTTGTATCTCAAGGCAAACGAAATATAAACATTAATATAACCTGTTCTGTTTTGACCTCTATCAGGTGAGCAGTTAAAATAACAAGATCAAACAAATCCACGGGCATTCTCACAGTTTTTTTAAAAAACATGTTTATAAAACAAATATGTGTGTGTGTGAAAGAGAGAGAGAGAGCGAGGAGGGAGGAAGGAAGGAAGGAAGGAAGGAAGGAAGGAAGGAAGGAAGGAAGGAAGGAAGGAAGGAAGGAAGGAAGGAAGATGTAAAATTCTGTTTCTTAACTATTCAATTGCAGTCATATGCCATTCTTAATATACCTTGCTGGTATTCTCAGTACTGTATAATATAGACACAATTGTTTTTCTGTATAGCACTTTTCTTGAGGCCGTTTTCTCTCCATCATCAAATAATATTGTATCCCTTCCCACAGAAGAAGCAAATGTGTGAATTTTTGCTTCATATTTTACATCTAAATGTGTTTCTGAATGTATTCTTTCAGTGCTTTTCTTTGAGGAGTAGGTGGGATAAGTAAAGATAAGTCTTAATACTTATCAGAATTAGGGTTTGTTTTTAAAATAGCAACGTTGGCACCTGTTTTTAAGAAGTTACTAAACACTTGTAGGAACTATGCCTTAATTGCCTTTTCCTGGTATTAACATAGAGAACCCGATGTTGACATCAAATTGGAGCTTACTTTGAGCCTCTTAATAGATATACCTTTAGTTGCTTTTGGTAGGTTATACGGGACCACTATATGGCTTATATTTACTTTTCAAAATTCACGTATAGAAAAAATTGAAATACATTATAAAAAGTGAAAGGAACCATTTCTGGAACTAAAATACAGAGGTAGGAATTACAGGTAATCCTCGCTTAGCAACATTAACTGGGATTGGGCTTTCCATTGGTAAGCGAAGCAGTCATTAGACAAAACATAACATGGCTACCCCACTTAGTGACTGCAGTTCTGGTAGTCTCATTTGCATGCGTTAGGCAAGGACCTCTCCCTTCTCCTGCCTTGCCGCACTCATTTCCACTTCAGTTACCTTCACTCGCCTATCTGGGCTCTTGGCTGCCTTGCATTCCACCTTTGCCACCTACCCCTCACTGTCCCCAGCTGACCTTCGCCATCTTCTTTCTCCCACTGCTGACAAGGCACCCTGCAGTCATAAATGTGGGTGATTGCCAAGTGCCTGAATTTCATCACATGTGGGTGTGCTGCAGCAGCCATAACTTTTGAGCTGTAACTACCATTTGTTCAGTGACAGCATAATTTTGAATGGTTGCTGAATAAATGGCAATTATGTGAGGACTACTTCTATAATAACATACCACATATGTAAGGATGGGTTTTTTTAAATAAACAAATACCTAATTGCTTTGGTTCAATTTCTTCCTAGCTCTGAGCATCAGCAAAGTTTATATAACAGGAAAATATTTATGTGACTATGTAGGTGCATTGGCTGGTGAGCAATGTGTTTGAGGGAAGGTATGGTGGATGGAACTAAGTTGTGCATCAAAGCTAGGTGTTACAGTTATTGCAGATTTCCAGGCTGGGGGAGAGGCAGTTCCCTTAGAAGAGACTGGGAAAGGCATATTGTGTATTACCACCTTTTTTTTTCAGGCACCAGCACTTTACTAGCAGCACAAACATATGACTGGGAACAAGTCCTATTGAGTTTAATAAGTGTGATATGGGATTACTGCATAAATCCATTGTTTTTAGAGAGAACATTTTTTTAGCAATGTGTTCTTCAAAACATACTTTTAGAATGAGCCCTATACTCCTGATTTCTCCAGGTAGAATTTGTTATCAGATATTATAACTATAAGATATTCATGAAATTTTATCACTTGATAAAGTTCAGTTACTAAGTTGGAGCTAAACATATTGCCTTCCTTAAACATTCTGTTTCAGATATGATACCACATGAAATGCCTGTGAGAGCTTCCATTACATGTTAGCAATTAACAGAAAAATCCACATTCATATTTATCCTTAAATGAATATAAATATAAATTACATGATGTACAGACATATAATCTATTATTTACCCTAGTAAAATATTTCAGAAGACAATATTAATGAATAAAATTAAATAAAACATATCTCATTGCTCATTAAATAAACATAGGGACGAAAGAAAGATTGAAATGAAAGAACAAAGAAAGGTGTTTAACCATGTGCACTAAAACTTAATTCATAAAGTTGTTAAGCATTCCACCAAACTGTTTTGAAATAATTCTACAGCCCCTTCTTCTGCACAAAACCCACTCAATTTACCTGCATGAAATTTGGGAAGAACATTTCTCACTGTAAATGCTATCTATTTTGAAATGTAATATTGTGTCCCAAAATAATCACTTTTCCCCGTACTATCAATCACATTTAGCACATTGTAAAAAGACAGATTTGCAGATTTGCTTTTGAATTCATCCCATTTGGCTAAACAACCATAAAGCCATAGTTACATTTTTCTTAGTCTACACTGGGGAGATTAAACTTTTTGAAATTCACGTAGGATCAGGATCCTAGTTGGTACTGTATTTAACCAAAAAGAAGATGAGAATAGGAGTTTGACAAGATATAAATGTATATTGATTGAACTAATAACTATTAATTAACTCATTGCCTGTAAAGCTTAGGTCCCTTGTTCACAATATTAATTGATCCCCATCTTCATATACCAACATTCACTCATCCATACACCCCGCCCCCCATTGCATACAGAATCATTCAAGTACACAGATGTATTTTCCCCCTTTTTTTCCAGCAGAAGCCAACAATAGAACAGGATGGATATAGAATAAGATGAAGCGATGCCTGCAGTAAGAATGGAAAGAAAGAGAAGGGGTGGGAGCAAACTGGCTGGAGATTAGGTGATGGGAAGAGTTACTAGACAAAGAAGGAAAGAAAAGAAAGGACAAGTCAGTTATAATTATAATGTTTAAATTCAAGCTAATTTTCATAAAGAAAGACAGTTTGGTATAGTGTTAATGCACAGGCTAACCAGGAGACTGTAAGTTCTAGTCTCAGCTTAGGTACAAAGCCAACTGACTCTCAGCAGACAGTGGTGAATTACTTCCAAAATCTAGCCAAATCTAGAGGGCATATATGCAATCTTCAGAGAAATTCAGGCTTTGTAGCATGATCCCTTCAACTATTTGTACTTCATGCTAATTCCTTTGTTTTCATAGCTTGCTGTATTAGCAGCAAATGTAAAATACCGCTACATCATTCATAGCAAATTATTTGGGTTTAGGGGTTATAGCTGAAGTTCTCTGTATGATCAGAATTTCTCTGCAGCCTTTCCCATTCCATGTTGGAGTTGGAGGAGGTAGAGATGATACATTCACACATTTTTTTAATTGTCGAGGTGTTACAATGCCTGGCAGTATAGGCTTTGCTTTGTGTTCCTGTAAAAGAACTTTCCTCCAAAAAGAGCTTTAATGAGTTTGAAATTGTGAACTTATATAAGAATTATGTAACTTTAAATAAAGCTAAATAATGTAAGGTTACATGGCGTAACTCTTTAAGAGTTTGCATTGTACTTTCAGAAGTACTGTGAAAATAATTTTATGTTTGGACTATTTTTTGTAAATATGGGCATTCATTCATCTATAGGCACATTGAATATTGAAAAAATGTGTCTGCCTTTACAATATATTGTTCAGCAGTAGTAGAAAATGGCATTTACTCAACCCTTGACGTAAGAGGAACCTATTATTTCTTAAGCATTGGTATAGGCATATCACATATAGGATATTTCCATTTTGGAGAAGAAAAGGGGGGTTTGGAATTGAAATACCCATTGTTTCTATGGAATGAATCCAGTACTGTAATAGTTTGAGGCCAGTTCAGATTAGATAGGTTAATTAGCCCTCAAATTTCTATGCTTGCCATCTTGAAAAATCTCCCTTGATTTTTCTTCACTTTATTTTTTTTTTTTTGAAAAGTGGTAACCTATGAAACAATTCAGCTGTTTCTGAATTCTGAAGGCATGCGGCATAAGAGTATCTCATCTATACTAAATTAAGAAGTACCATCGGCTAAATCCTGGGTGTGCTAAAGAAAGTGTAAAGTGATAAATGAATGGATTATCATTTAATAGGGAATAATGTATGCTCTAATTATATGTTATAGCTTTTTTGTTTTATGTATCTGAGGAGACAGAAATATGTGGTTGTATGTACGTGTAGTTGCAGTGGGACAACCAGTGAAGTGCACTGCATCCATGCATACAGAGAGACAGGTAGATGCAGCTTTTATAGCAGCTGTAGAAATGTTAATGCTATAGTACCCTATACTTCTTTCCTGCTTTGCAAAAATCATGAGATAGAATTAATAATAGTAAATATCACTGTCCCATTAAATGACACACACACACACACACACACACACACACACACACAATTTAAGTGATGGAGAGAAATATTTAACCTCACTTGCCTAGATTTTTTTCTTGTACATCACTCCATAGAGTTTTATAACAGATTATAAATTGATTAGAGGACATAGATAATGTCCTTGTTATAAATCACTTGACAGTATTCTTTTGAGTAATGGGTATGGCATTAATTCATTAAGAAAAACATAGACAACTCCAAGTATGCGAAGGAAGGAACAATGAATTGAACTTTATGATTCAATGGCCATTTTCCATATCTTAACTATTGGTAATGTTTGGCTAGCATTATATCGGCACCAGCCTAAGTATAACACAGTTCTAACATTTATTCATTGAGTTGAAAAGATAAAAAAAAAAACTAGTCAAAGTATAAGGACAGAGTTCTAAGCCTGAAGCATACATTTTCACAACTTGTTTTCTTTCTACAAAAGAATGTAAGAAGGATATAACCATTTTTTGTTTATAAGTTTGATGATGAATCCTACATTTCAGTAGAGTCATTTCTTACCAATTCAGATCAAATAGTATATAATTACTAAATACTTTCGGTCACCTGTAGTTTGACATGTTCAAATTAGTTCAGTGTTACTTTTCCAAAAGCCAAGTGTGTATTTGTAAATGTGCAAATCTTTTTGTAAAAATCCTGCCATGCACTTGTCTGCTGTAGCATGCGCTGACATTACTGTGAAATGTTTTAATAGGCATAATGTGTGTACTTCCTGTATTTAACTGCTCACCTGAAAAAAAAGGAGAATGAAGCAAATTGGCTAGCAAATGTTCAATTTCTGTACTATACATATTATTTTAAATATACTGAGTAGCTGAATGGCATTGCAGAGATAGAATGGTTTTACAAATTATTTTTCTATGTGCTCTCTTCTTTGTTCAGAAACATTACAGTCTGGATTGTTTGGAAAGTGCTTTAAGGAAATGAGTTTACACAAACTGCCTATTTATGATGAAATTTATGAAGAGAGACACATGTCTGCATATCATTTTTTTTAAAAAAAGCCAAGAGGTACATTTCATGATGCAGCAACAAAGGAAGCAAAAAGAGGGGCTCACTAGGAAAATGGATGAAATGGCCTTTCGTTAATACTGCAGCACAGTTTAAAAGTGAAGGCAGAAGTCAGTGCTTCCTGCTGCTTCCAATAATGTGTGCCAAAGGCTTAAAGCAGGGGTTCTCAACCTTGGCAACTTTAAGACTTGTGGACTTCAACTCCCAGAATTCCTCAGCCAGCTTTGCTTAAAGTTGCCAAGGTTAAGAACCCCTGGCTTAAAGGAAGTTGAACAAAGCTATTTTAGTTTAGATTAAATTGTCAGAAATTTAGACTACAGTAATTAAATGTAATTAAAAGGGAATATTTATGGATCCAAATGTTTACTTTTCAGATGACTTCAGTGTCTGTTTACCTTATGGTTCAGAGTTGGTTTAAGAATTGTAACACCTGCACCTTCACTGATCCATTCTATCTAAAACCTTTTCTGCAACACGGTATGCTGAAGTCTTTTGTTGCTGTTACATCATGTTTACATGATTTTTTTTAATTAAAAAACATGAATTTAGAGAGAAGGGCTTAGATCATATTACTAATTTAGGCCTGGATGTGCCCAGTGTGCCTTGACTCTCATTTTCCTTTGAATGGCAGATCACAGGTCATATCACGAATATGTTTTTGAAACTCTGTTAGCTTCACAAGATGCTTGTCGTCTGCTGAACTTGGGAAATTATTTTGAAAGCTTCTTTGATGTATAGAATTAAGTATAAGGTTTGTTGGATTAAGGCTAAAGTAATAGGATGCAATAGTATTGATCTGTACCTTTGGGCCATTATGTAGCACTCCATGAATTAGGGAAAATGCATATATGCAGTCTACAAATTTGTGCTAGGCTGTACTGCAAATTGCCAAGTTAATAATGTCTGAATCTTAGAGATTCTGAGTTCCAAAACAGAATTGGTGACCCTTATAGTTTGAGAATTGCTTGCTGGATAAAAATTCCTAAAATGGCCAAATACTTTTTTCCAAGTGCAGATACATTTTGCAGTAAGGAGGTCTATGTATAATAAATAGTTGAACTGCAAAATCCAGAACTGAAGAAATGCATATTAAGAACCTTGATTAAATTTTATGAATCTAAAATCAATAGTGCCTGTAAAGCTGGTTGAAGTTGTGATGTATAAAACTAATCAGGGCATATAAATTTAGCAATTCCATTGGAGTGGAATTTCTTCCTGGTGATGAATGTATTTGTAGAACTTAATTGAAGTACATGTATGTTTTACCGATTCCCAAGTCTAGAACTTGAGCCTCAAATTCATTTCTCTCAGAAGACTCCCTGATATTTTATGTCTTTCTTCCATCATGTATACTTCTGAGATCATATTTTATACATTGGGACATGAAAATTTGCCAAATATTTAAATAATTTGCTTAGAATCTTTTTAATGCCATTATATAACAAGTCTCATGTTATATGCACTGTGCATGATAAGAACTTTGTATTGAAGAATTGCAAGCCATCTACTCCTTATATGTACAAAACAAAACAAAAAATCATTCTCATTTTTGAATTATAAAATTATATTTTATTTTTATAATTGTAATTCTGATTGTGAATTTCACTGCCACTAACTCATTGTGGATATTGTAGATAAGCTTGGGTCCTATATTTCAATACTTATACAATTTAAAAAAAATAATGTCTCGGAAGTAGTAACATTTAATTAAACCCCAAGTTTAATTGGTTCTAAAATTAAGAAATGAATTCTTTTGAAAATTGAGAAATAAATGTTTAAAATGTGTTTAAAATTTACATTGTGTTATTTAAAATCTTATTGTTCATGTTGTCGTGCTGCTGTTCACTTTTTGCACTCCAGTAATTTTTAAAAAATTTTTAAGCATGTTAATTCTTCTCAGTATATTCATGCCTCCTGTCTTTATTGGTAAATCATTTATAGCATTTTGTATATTACAATCGAGATTGATGCAGTTCAACACAACTATAGCACCAGCTCTTACAAATACCTGTATATAAAAGTAATATTTTCCTTATTTTCAGGGTTTATATATGGTTGCACATATAGGTGGTCCTCATTTAACAACTGCAGATTAAGAGAGCAATCAAACTTATGAAACGTATGATGGTGCTGAATGAATGGTAGTTCTGATTAGCCATCAGCGCAGCATCTCTGTGGTCACATGGTCTAGGTCAGGGTAGGTAACCTTGGCTCTTTTATGACTTCTGGACTTCAATACCCAGAATTCCTGAACTAGTCATGCTGACTCAGGAATTCTGGGAGTTGAAGTCCACAAGTCATAAAAGAGCCAAGGTTCCCTACCCCTGGTCTAGGTGCTAGTGCCCATCTTGAAATTGCAGCACCCCAGAGTCATGTAATTGCACTTTGCGATCTTCCCTGCCAATGTCCCACAGGCAAAGTCAATGGGAAAGCCTGCAGGAAGTCATGGTCACTGTGAGGTCCTAGCTTAACAAATAAATTTTCTTGGGCATATTTATTTTCCACTAACTTCAGTTAGAAAATTACTAAGTTTACAGGCTTTCATTATGACTTCAGGCTTATGGCCTAGTAATGGAGCAGTAATTTTAAAAATCCATATGTTTAAAGTTCTGTGAGTGAAGTATTCGCTAATTTTTTCAATCTGCATTTAAACATTTGTTGAGTTGATTTCAGAGTGACCTAAGCTCATCTTTCTTTCTTAGATGTAAAGATATCAGTATTAGCAATCAGTTCATTTCTTAAGATTTTACAATAAAAGATTAGCAATTTATCATAGATTTGATTTTTTTATATTTATAATATAAATATTTTTTATGGTCCATTGTAATACTATAAAAATTACATTTTTATAGTGTACTTTAAGTATATCTCTCTCACACATACATACACACACAAACAAAACCTTTGTTAAGAAAATCCTAAAGGTAAAGGTTTCTCCTGCCCAGTCGTATCTGACTCTAGAGGGCAAATTCCCATATCTGTTTCTTAGCTGAGGCACACGGAATGCTATTACCTTCTCACTAAAGTTGTTTATCTATTGTTTATCTACTTGCATTTGCATGCTTTTGAACTGTTAGGTGGGCAGGAGCTGGGGCAAGTAACAGTGGCGCTCAGTTCTCAAACCCAGGCTGTTAGCTTTCCAACTGAGAAGCTCAGCCTCTTTAGCCTCTGTACCATTATGCTAATCCTAATCATGCTAGTAATACTGCGCTCTTAATTAAGAGAAATTATTGTATAAATGAAGGAGAGCTTTACTTCTTTCCTTTAAGGTGAAGCGTATACACAGTAACCACATTTTACTGCTCTTGCAGGGCACATTAGGTACAATGTTGTAAATGAGAAACTGCACCATACCTTTATATAGAAACAGATAAATAAAATATTTTAATGCTTAGGTGAGGTTTTTCAACAAGAAGTAGAAACGAACTGCATTCTGGACTTTTAATTACCCTGACATCAACTGGGAGACAAACTGCACCAAGTGGAAGATCAAACAGATTCCTGACAAATCTAGCAGACAACTTTGTCTCCCAAAAAGTAGAGAAGGGAACTAGGGCATCAGCCATATTGGATTTAATTCTCACTAATAGAAGATGAAATTATAGAAGGTGTTGAAACTACAGGAACCTTGTGGGGGAGGAGTGATCATGCAATATTAAAATTCAACATGCAAGCACAAGCAATAGAACCTAGTCAAACTAGAGTCTTGGATTTTAAGAGAGCTAATTTCAATAAACTTCCTCAAGGGGAAAACAACTCAAGAAGCTTGGGAAATTTTGAAAAGTGAGATTATAAAAGCCCAGTCTAGCACAATACTAACAAAGAAGAAAAATTAACAGCTCTCAAATGGCTGCTTAAAGAACTCTGATAAATTGAAAGACAAAAAGGACAAGTATAAAAAGTGGAAAGGGGGGCACATAACTAATGTAGAATATCAGCAAATAGCCCGAGCCTGCAAAGATGAAGTGAGGAAAGCTTAAGGCTTAAAATGAACTAAGGCTTGCAACAAAAGTCAAAAATAGCAAAAAAAGCTTTCATCGTGTAAAAAACAAGAAAAAAGGAAATAAATGGTCCATTAGTGGGAGAAAGTGGTAGGAAGGTGACGAGCAACAGGGAGAAAGCAGAACTACTTAACTTGTTTTTTGCATCCGTCTTTACACAAAGGGAAAAATAGTCCATCCTATCAAAAACTACTGTAAAAAACCAATTCGAAACACAAGTTAAAATAGGCAATAAAATGGTAAGTGAGCACTGTCCACCCTAGACGAGTTCAAATCACCAGGACCAGTTGGATTACACCCAAGGTTCTGAAGGAACTGGCAGATGTGATCTCAGAACCACTGAACTATATCTTTCAAAGATCCTGGAGCACTGGGTAATCACCAGAGGACTGGAAAAGAGCTGATATAGTTCCCATCTTCAAAAAAGGAAAAAAAATGTATCCAGAAAACTAGAGACCTATCAGCCTGATCTCAATATCTGGGAAGATTCTGGAAAAGATAAGCAATGAATCAGAGAACACCTAGAGGCAAAGTCATAACCAAAAACCAACAGGCTTAAGATACAGAAGGATCTTTACAGACTTGAACATTAGGCACTATCTAACAAAATGAAATTCAATAAGAAAAAAATCTACATTTAGGCAAGAAAAACCAAATGCACAGGTACTGTATAGGTGGTATCTTGCTCAATAGTAGTAACTGAGAGGGATCTTGGATTCCTAGTGGACAGTCACTTAAATATGAGCCAGTAGTGTGCTGTAGCTGCCAAAAAAGCCAACACAGTGCTAGGCTGCATTAACAAAGGGATAGAATCATGATCATATGAAGTGTTAATACCACTTTATAATGCCTACGTAAAGCCACACTTGGAATACTGCATCCAGTTTTGGTCACCACAATGTAAAAAAGATGTTGAGACTCTAAAAAGAGTACAGACAAGCAACAAAGATGAATAGAGGACTGGAGGCTAAAACATATAACGAATGGTTGTTGGAATTGGGTATGTCTAGTCTAATGAAGAGAAGGACTAGGGGTGACATGATAGCAGTGTTCCAATATCTCAGGGGCTGCCACAAAGAAGAGGGAGTCAAGCTATTCTCCAAAGCACCTGAGGGCAGGACAAGAAGCAATGGATAGAAACTAATCAAACAGAGAAGCAATCTAGAACTAAGGAGAAATTTCCTGGCAGAACAATTAATCAGTGGAATAAGAAGGTGTGAATGCTCCAATACTGGAAGTTCTTAAAAAGACACTGGACAACCATTTGTCTGAAATGGTATAGGGCTTCCCGTCTGAGCAGGAGGTTAGACTAGAAGACCTCCAAGGTCCCTTCCAACTATTATTATTGTTGTTGTTGTTATTTGACATGAACCTCAGTCAACTGAACATTCAAATTGATTGGCGCTGATGGTTGACACAGATTGCTGCCAGCATCCTAGGTATCAACCAAGTACCTCCTTAAAATGTAAGATGTTCTGAGTAGTGCAGTTTTTTGTAGCATTGCTGGAGTTATTGCAGGAAGCTGCAGTTTCTTGAAATATTTTGCAAAGTTTTTGGACATAGTTCCCAGTGCCCCGATGACAATGGGTATCACTGTTACATGTTTCATCTATAATCGCACAGTTTCGATGGCCAGGTCGCGATATTTCATAATTTTTCCAGTTCTTTTTCTTCGACTGTGGCATCTCCTGGTACAGCGATATCAATCAGCTGCATGCTTTGGTTCTCTACAACTGCGATATCTTGCGTGTTGTGTTTCAAATGGCGATCTGTCTGTATTCAAAAGTCGCACAAGATCTTCACCCTCTCATTCTCAACAACTTTTTCCACCCTATGTTCCCATGATTCTTCGTACACAGGCAAGTCGTATTTTTTACACAATGTCCAGTGGATCATGTCTAGCTTTGTAGTCAGTTTGCGTGATTTTGCTGCACTCACATATTAGATGTGAAACAGTTTCAACTTTGTCATTGCAAAGTTGGCAATTTGGATTGTCAGTGGATTTTTGCATTTTCGCTTTCATGGCATTAGTTTGTAGTGCTTGTTCTTGAGCAGCCAGTATTAAGCCTTCTGTTTCTTTCTTGATGGTTCCCATCTTAAGCCATGCTCATGTCCAGTTGTTATCACATTTTCCTTCAATTTATTATTATGATTATTATGATTATTATGATTATTTTCAAAAAGATTAAAAAAACAACTTTTGGCAAGGTAACTTTTGGTAATATATTTTACACTGGATTCCCATCCCCATGCCCATAATCTTGTCACATTGAACTCTATTCAATTTTAAAGCTACTGTAAAAGTTAAATGTTGATGAAATATGTATACAATCTCTCACTCACTGAGATTTGTCTCATGAAATAAATACCCTATATTGTTGGAATGGGTGGGGATAATACATTTTTTCCCATTGTTTTATTTAAATTTGTACCCCTTATTCCATTTCTAAGGAGATTAAAGCAGACTAAGGCATTCTGTTAGGACTGTGAGTGCTTTGGAAATAATTTGAAAAAGGTGCTTCAGAATCTACAAAACTTTACAGTAAATTACTACTATACTTTTTCAGGTTTCTGCACAAGCCTGAGAAAAGGTTCCACAGGTTTAATGAGTCTGCCACAGCTTATTAAAACAGCCATGTGATTTTGCAACATCTCATGGAATCTTGAAAAAAAAATGGGATTTTAAAAGTGCTACTGCAGTCACATGTTCCAAAACATCTCCCTTGAATAATTTTCAAAACACATCCCCTACAAAATATAAATTAGTTACAACCTTGTTTAGAACACCAGCTAAA